GGGGAGCTTCCTTCTGGGTGCTGGGACAGGCTGAGCTTCTCTGCCCTAGGAGCCTGGGATGGAGGCGGGGAGCCTGTTTGAACTTTTTATAATGATCTTGTAAATATTTTAACTAAAAACAATTTTTTTAAATTGCACTTCTAAAAAATCCTATGCTAACAAATCCATTCATTTTAACCTTCCTTATTCCCTCCTATTAACAAAAAAAAAAAAAAAAAAGGAAAAATAGTTCAAGTGCTTTCCCCTTATGAACAACCTGTTTTCCCCTGTGAGTGACCATCTATCAGAAAGAAAGAAAATCTTCTCCACTCCCTCTTACTGTCTACCTAGTCTTCATCTCATCCTCGTGACACAGGAAGAAGCCACAGAAGAGACACAATGGGACAGAAGACAGTGAAGAGATCATGAAGCCAGGGGACCAGGATACAGCCTAGAGAACTAGGATCTGTACTTCTTACTCTTTATTCATGTTTCTCACCAGGAAGATGTCAGCATAGCCAGCCAAGGACTCCACTCCCTCTTGGATCCGGGCTCCCCCAGAGTCATTCAGCCCAATCACTGGAGCACCCACAGTTATGGCCTGGTCCATGATCTGAGACAGCAGAGAAATCTATTATGAGACATCTGCTCTAGTTATCAAAAACAGCACTGACAAAGCATAGTTTCTGGAAAATGTTCTGAGTGCAGCTGGGTGCATGCCTGTAATCTCAGCACTTGGGAGCTTGGGGCAGAATGATGATGAGTTCAAGGCCAGCCTGAAATACATAGCAAGACTATCTTAGCAAAACAACGTTCTGAGTGTACTTTTCCACACAGGAGGTAGGAACAATGGTTTTTTTCCTCATGACAATTGGATACCGTCATGGAAGATAAAAGACTAGATATATAGACATAGACACAGACACACACACATATATATAATTTTTATTTTGTTTTGTTTGGTACTGGAGATCAAACTCAGGACCTTGTGCTTGCAAGGCAGGCATGGTGCCACTGAGCTAAATTCCCAGCCCTATTTTATTTTGTGAGACAGGGTCTCCCTATATAGTTCAGGCCACGTAGCCTAGGCTGGCCTCAAACTCAGAGATCCTCCTGCCTCAGCCTTGGAGTGTGGAGATCACAGGCATGTACCACCATGCCTGTCAAGGGCCAGATACTTAAAAGGCTGAATAAAGCCCCCAACATCCACTTCTCATTAGCAAGGAATAACACTGCTCATGACAGCCACTTCTGGAACCACAGGCTCAGGCTGTAATATCTTCAACAGGCAGATTTGCTCACTATTGTTCTTTTCTTCTTTTCTTTTTAATGGGGAGGGGAAAAGAAGGGGAAGGAGAAAGTGGAGAAGAGTAGGAAGCAGAGGAAGAAGAGGACAGAGAAGAAAAGGAGAAAAGAAGAAGAATGGGAAGAAAAATGGGAAAAGGAGAAAAGAAGAAGAATGGGAAGAAAAAGAATAGGAAAAGGAGAAAAGAAGAAGAATGGGAAGAAGATGAAAAGGGAGAGGAATGAAAGGGGAGGAAGGACAGGGAGGAGAAGAATGGGCAGGAAGAGGAGGGAGAGGAAGAAGAAGAGGAAGGAGATGGAGGAAAGGGGGAAGAGTGAGAAGAGAGGACGGGGAGAAAGGCTGTTCATAGTTGTTCTTAAGGAAAAACCGATTTTAGACAATGGCAAAGTAGTATTTTCATGGAAGCAAATGTTAACCCAGGCCTTCTTCTACTTCTAATGTGACAGATTGTCTTCATGGGTCAGTACCTCTGATAGCACAATGAACTACTTCCTACAGCCCTGGAAAGTTTACAATGCATGTTCACGTCCATTGTCTCATTTAATCATTACAACAGAGGCGGTAAAAAGAGGGAACTCAGAAAGATTTAAAAGTTCGAGAGTGAACTGGGCACAGTGACCCACATCTATGATCCCAGTACTCTGGGAGGCTGAGGCAGGAGGACTGCAAGTTCAAGCCCAGCCTGGGCAACTTAAGAACTTAGTGAGACCCTGTTTCAAAATAAAAATAAAAAGGGCTGGACATGTAGATCAGTGCAAAAACCATGCACGGATTCAGTCCCCAGTAGTATTGCCAAAAAAAGTTACATGAGTGACCCACATAGCAGGACTTCATCTAGAAACCAGGTGTTCTGCTATAGAGGAAAGTCCTGACCATCACTAACAGTGTAAGTTTTAACTCCAAAAATCACCAAATGTGAGCTAGACTTTTATTTTTCCTCAAAACATCTAAATCTCCCAGGGCTTTGTGCATGCTAGGCAAGGATTCTATCACTGAGCTACTCCCCCAGTCCTCTGTCAGTGCTTTTAAAATACCATCATATAATCTTTACACTGTTCTTTACCTTATAGCACCTGGACTCTTCTCCTAATCCTGGGATTCTTTATCTAGGGTCCTCAGAACTGCTGGCATGGGGTGGGATTTGTGAACAAATTTCAGTAGTTCATGAATCTTAATGGGAAAGACTTTACATTTTTACTAACTTTACCTCATCTTTAGCATTTCCTTCAAATACGAATATAGTCAATAAAGCACAATAATTTTAGAAATACCTGTGAGTTTGTCATTAATAGAAGCCAGATGTTTTTGGTTACATTAAAGTTGTTGCAGGTAACTTTAAATATTATTTTTATTCATGCAAACTTGGAAATTATACCAACTTATATAATTATACCAAATTACATAATTGGTATAAAATTATACCAATTACTAGATCTACTGCTAATCTTGTTAATGCATTAGTAAGGAAGCACATATATTACAAATATGTTTTTAAACAGTTTTAGTCCTTTATCATTTTACATATTTCTATTTTAAGCATGTAAAAATATGAGGGTCCAGGCTTTGTTACCTTGTCAAAGAGATCCAAGGCACAAAAAATACTAAGAATCCCTTCAGGTCAATACCACATCTTACACAACTCTGCCCCACCCCAAATACCCAGCCCAGGGACTTACACCCCCAAAATACCCAATATGCACTATATAACTGATGAAAGTATTTGACTTATTTTTAATATTAAACACTTACTTTGCAGATCTTCTGAGCATGTGCTCCTGACAGACTGCCCCCAAAAACCGTGAAATCCTAAAAGGGAAATAAATCAACAAGTAAAGTATGACTGACTAGAGATAAAGATCCAGTAAGAAGATCCAGTAAGGCATGACCCATGCCTGTAATACCAGCACTTGAGAGGCTGAGGCAAGAAGATCACCATGAGTTGGAGGCCAGCTTGAACTATACAGCAAGAACCTGTCTCAAATTTTCTTCCAAAAGGAGGAGGAAGAGGAGGAGGAAGAGAAGGAGGAAGAAGAGGAGGGAGAAGAGAAAGAAGAATAGGAGAAGAGGAAGAAGAAAACTCATAGATAAGTGTTTTTATAGGAGTTTCACAAGTTACAAAAACAGGGAAAATCTGATTTTAGATTACTCCATAAAATAGTGAATAAAAATATCTTAAAGGGAGTTCATGTATTGTCAAGAGCAAAAGACTTAAGTCTTCACTCTATAAAAACAATTTGTAGCTGAGGAAACAACTTATGCAGGATTAACCCTAATATCAGATTCCATGGATATCATCTAGGCATTTCTATTTCTAGGAAACATGTGCTGTTTTGACAAGAGACAGCTGTTGTCTCTACTTATGGACTTTCATTACTTTTACATATAAAGGGCTTCTTGTGGGTGTGGCCTCCCTTCTAAAACCTTACCAAAAAGGCAGTGGGGCCGAGCACAGTGGCACAAGCCTGTAATCCCAGCTATTCAGGAGGCTAAGGCAGGTGCATCACAAGTTTGAAGCTAGCCTGGGCAATTTAGCAAGAAGACCCTGTCTCAAAATTAAAAAATGAAAAAAGAAGCCAAACATGGTGGCCCACACCTATAATTCCAGCACTGTTGGGAGGCTGAGGTAGAAGGACTGCAAATTTAAGGCCAGCTTGAGCAACTTAAGAGGGTGAATGGGGAGTCAGAGCGGGAAGCGGAGGAAGACAATGACAACAGTAGGGAATAAAAAACAGAACTAACCCACAAGGAAGAGCAGACAACAGCAGAGAAAGTCTGAATAAACTTGAAGCAAACTGAAATCACAAGAACACCTCCTTTGGAGGAAATGGAAGCCTCCACACCTGCACACGAGGTGACCAAAGCAGGGACAACCCAGAAACCCAGGAAAGTGAGAGGTGAGGAGTGGGCTGGAAACAAGTTAATAGAAAGTCTGTGTTAGAAGCAGACTTCAGAAGGCCTCCCCATCTTGAGAGGAGAAAGAAAGCTTATTTTTTCTCTAAAGCAATTTAACTACTCTGCCATAAAGAAGGATGAGTTTCAAATATCTTTAGCTAAATGGATGGACCTTGAGACCATACTCTTAAGTGAAATAAATTGGATGCACATGTTTAAATACCTCATTGTTTCTCTGTTGTGTGAAGATGAAAGTGGAAATAAGAACTGAAATGTATAATGGATGTTGGGAAATGGGAAGAAAGTGTTCAAATAGAAAGAGGAACAAGGGAGGAGGGAGGGAGAAAGGAAGGAAGGGACAAGAAAAAAGTGAAAATAGAAGGAAAAGGGCCAGGGATTTAGCTCAGTGGTTCCGGGGGTTCCGGCGCCTGCCTCGAAAGCACAAGGTCGTGAGTTCAATCCCTGGTACCAAAAAGAAAAGAAAAGAAAATAGAAGGAAAAATAGAAGCAAAGCTTTTGTACATAGGGGAAGGAGCTAGAGGGAGAATGGGATAAAATAAAATAAAATTTATTTTGAAATTTAAAAAAAGAAATTTAACCAGAGGTATCGGGTTAAATTTGCAATTAGTCTCCCCTCAACGCCCAACACACCAACAGCCAATTATCATACAAGGGACTGAAGACTTTTCTCTGGAAAAGTGAAAATGTCCCAGAAAAAATACCCATTGATACAAACATCTTAGAGATCACATCAAAAAGGCCGGGTTATCACTCCCTCATTCAGTATCCTTCGGTGACTACTTCCATTTTCCCTAAAGCTCTCTTCAACCCAGGATATGAGCATTCCTTGTCCTGAGTCCACAGCACTTGTCTGGGCTCTGTACAGTGACCCTTCCTGTTCTGCCCTGTGCAACCTACAGGGCGACTGGCCTCAAGGCAACAAACCTTTCTCAGGAATCTCCACCCTCTCCTCCTTTCCACTTACCTCAGAAGCACAGGAAGCTCAAAAGCATCAATCTGATAATTTTTTTGTCTGCTTAAGTAGCTAGGTGAACACTGCGTCCAGAAAACACAGTAACTTTTTTTGTTCTATCTTTTCAGTGCTTCCATGTGAATTTTTGCTCATTCTTATAAGTTGGGGGTAAAAAGTAATTCTTTCTAATTCAGCATTCGGTAGACCCACTTATAACACACAGTCTTAACATTTCAAAGGTAGGTTAATGAGTAAATAAGTACTGTCTCAATGCAATAAATTTATAATTAACCAAACGTAATTATTTCAGTATCACTTTAAGTTCCTTAACTTTAGGCTGGTGAAAGAAACTAAGCATTTATAAGTATATACACATTTCCACCTGCGGAGGGGGGAAAAATCCAAAATAGCATACAATCTATTCTTTGTCAGATTTTATTGCTGGTATAACAAATTAACACAACTTCAATAGCTCAGAAGAACATGTTTATTACCTTCCGGTTCCCTAGTCTAGAAGTCCTACACAGGCCTTACTGGGTTGAAATCAAGATTGGTGGATTGTGTTCCTCTCTGGAGGATTCAGGAGGCCATCTGTTTTCTTACCTTTTCTAGCTTCCAGAGATTGTTCCTATTCCTTTACTCATGGACTCCTTCTCTTCCATCTTCAAAGCCAGCTACAGCAAGTCCTTTTCACACTGTATCACTCTGACTTCTTCAGCCTCCCTCTCCCATTGCATCACTCTACCACTGAGCTACACCAACAACCTTTTTGATATTTTATTTTGAGACAGGCTCTTGCTAAATCACTCAGGCTGGCCTCGAACTTGCAATGCTCCTGCCTTGGCTCTCATGGAGCTGGATCCACAGGAATGCACCACTGTGCCTGGCCCTCTTTCACATTTAAGGAGGCTTGTGATTATACTGAGTCCACCTGGATGACACAGGCAGGCCTCTCAACTGAGGTCAGCTGATTAACAACCTTAATTCCTCTTTGCTGGGTAAGGAAAACACACTCAAAGGTGCTGGAGATCAGGACTTGAACATCTCTGGAGAGTCATGATTCTGCCTAAGATATTCTCCTACAGTTTCAGTGTGAACAAACTCTGTCGGGATGCAGCCTAACACCACTTTGAACACTTACATCAATGCCCAAAATTCAGGAGCCTGTGGTTCTGACAGTCAAATCCCCTTCACCCATGATGCATCTGCTGTATTCCTGGATACAAACACATAGCCAGAGACAAGGATGCCCTCCAGGCACACACCTAACACTGCCAAAAGGAATCTCACTCGTAGGAAAAGCTCTTAGCTCCTGGTCGTACATAACTACATCCCTGTGATCCTTTCCTTAGTCCTCCCTAAGGACTCTTCCTTCCTAAGAAAATAACTGTAATACTCCAGACATAGGAAATGAAAACAAGAAAGCAGATCCTTCATCTTTCCCAAACCGTAAGATTTCATTCCTCAATATTTTCTTCCTGTCTCTCAGGAAAGCTCAGCCCATTGGAGTTGTGAAATACCTGACTGAAGACATAAACCAATCTTCCATTGATCCGGCCCCTTCCAGTGACCACGCTGTCTCCAGGAAACTAACATAGAAATAGAAAGATAAAGGTTAAAAAAATCCAAACACTTCTTTCTTTTAATGAATTTAGCAACTATACCTCATGGAAAGACAAAACACTAAATGCCTTAAAACTCAATCTGAACCCAAAGGAGTCCTACCCCCCTTCCCTGAACCTCCAACAGCAAGCAATGGACTCCACTAATGGGAGTGAAGAGCACTGTACTCTGAAACTTCATCTTCCTTCCTAAAAACAAAATAATCAGGCTGGGGTGACAGCTCAGTGGTAGAGCACTTGCCTACCATCCAAAAGACTCTGGGTTCAATACCCAGCACTAAAAAAAGAAGAAAAGAGGGCCGGGGATTTAGTTCAGTGGCGGTACACCTGCCCTGCAAGCGCACAGTCCTGCGTTCCATCCCCGGTTCTGTAAAAAAAAAAAAAAAAGAAAGAAAAAGAATCAAGAGACTGCTTAGGCCACCATCAGGTGCTCATGGGAAAGAAAAAAAAAACATATAAAAAAGCATGGCAATTTCCCTAAAGCCATATACCCTTATCTCAAACATTAAAAAGGCAAACCCAGCCAGGTGTGGAGGCACATGCATGTAATTCTAGCACTTGGGAGACTGAAGCAGGAGGATAACTGCAAGTTTGAGGCCAGCTTGGGCTACATAGTGAGACTCTATCTAAAAAAATTTTTTTCTAAATACCAATTTTCATGGAAACCCAGCAATCAGTGTAGTCCATCTGGCTCAAATGGAACAAGCTGGTTTGGTGCCACTTTACATATCTTTGGTCGCAGAAATCATATATATTTTAAAAATGGATCAAGAGTAAGTGAATTCCAGTGAATTCCACGTACCCATGAAAGGCACTAATTTTTGCTGATCTCAAGAACTCAGAGGTATAAACTTAAACCATGACAAAAAGGCACTGGCCAGCATTTAGGAGTACCTGGTTCTCAGAACACAACCAAAAGACATTCTCATGTCTTTAGAAAGACCCTCTTTCCAAATCTGTCATTCTGTACTAGCCAGAACTGAACCCACAACCAGAGCTCTGGGATCTAGAACCAAGTTACACTGCACAGAGTATGAATAGCCCACCCACATTCCACCTGCAGACAAAGGGGAGGGAGAGGGGAGAATCTGAGGCCTCAGCAGTACTTCTCAAGAAGACTCTGAGGAAAAACTCTACAGACTCATTACTCTGTGGCCAGCACAGCCACAGCTAGAAGTGTCCACACCACCGCTTGAGCAGATACCTTATTCTTATCAGCAGCCATTCCGAAATCTGCACATGTGTGTTCCACAAACATGTCACTCTCAACAAAGCTGCCAGGGTCCAGCAAGAGACTGATCCGCTCCCTGGCAGTCAGTTTTCCCTAAAACATAACAAAGATCACTCAGTAGTGTTATCAAAGTTAGTAACCAAAGGAGTGTTCATAAGAAAGTCAGGAGGACAGGTTTTGCCCCTTCACCCTGATGTGAAACCCTTCTTTCTCTCTGACCTGCCCAGGGCAAACAAATGTTATCAACAGACTTCATTTTAGATAGTGAGGAAATCAAGGTAGACAGGTGCTCCAGGAGCCACCTGATTGTGAAAGGTAAATAAGGGAGGAAGGCGGGGCATGGTGTCATACTCTGTAATCTCAGCACTCAGGGGCTGAAGCAGAACTGCTGTGAGTTCAAGGCCAGCCCAGGATACCTAGTAAATTCAAGGCCAGTCTGGACTACACAGTGAGACCCTAATTCAAAAAAAGGAGGGCAAGGTGGAGAGAGGTAGGAATAAGGAGAACCTAAACCTGAAACAAGCTAACTATTCCAGAAACACTTATGAGGGACCTAAGGAGTCTTAAAAAAAAATGGTGAAGCAGGTGGAAATCTAATGCAGGCTTAGTGAAGGGCCTTGAGACTTTACCCCGATTTCCAGGCTTCTTCTAGGGAAGCCTAAGAAACACACCTCACCAGGCCCAACCCCTCCTTCACACTCTGAGCTCCCATGGGGCTCCCCTTCCTCCTACTACCTCACACTGCCCCCACCCCCCGCTTAGAGACCACACACCTGACAGAGAGCCCACAGCAAGTAACTGCTGAGTAAAAAGGAATGGGACAGAGTGCTAAGAAGCTTGCCTGAAAAGAGTTCAAAAAATAAAAACAAGGCCGGGGATTTAGTTCAGTAGTTCTACCCCGTGCCTCACAAGCACAAGGTCCAGAGTTCGATCCCCTGTACAAAAAAAACAAAAAAACCCCCAAAAAATAGCACTCAGGAGGATCTCAAGTTCAAGACCAGCCTGACTTACATATAAGATCCTGTCTCAATACTCCCGAAAAAATTCTTCTTAAAGATAAGATTGGAGGTCCCAGTCTATCAAGAGCCTCCACTATGCCACAGCTGTAATCCCAGCACTCAAGGGGCTGAGGCAGGACAGCAAATATGAGGCCAACCTGCGCAATGGCTCAGCACTCCTCGGGTTTAATCCCCAGCAGAGCAAACAAATAGTAAAATAAAATAAAACCCTCCACTGCTTGGGTTCCCAAAACCTCAGCCCCAGCCAAATACTCTAGAACACTGTACTTCACCCTAGGAAAGCAACCAAATCTGTAGGAATGTGTTAAACACTAAGCAATCCTATATATTGTTATATGAAGCTGAATAAGTTCCAAGAAGAGAAATTTGGCAGTATTTTTTAAATTTTTTAAAATATTTATACCCTTTGATCTACTAATTCCACTTCGAGGAAATCTATCCTATGGAAATACTCCAAAAACTGTTTAAAAGAGGGTGGAAGTCTGCCTCCCAAACAAACCAGCTTTGGTAAAAGAAAAGCTTCTGGGGCTGGGGATTTAGCTCAATGGTTCTGGCGCCTGCAGCGCAAGCATAAGGTCCTGAGTTCAATCCCCCATACCAAAAAAAAAAGAAAAGAAAAGCTTCTGCAGGCTGCATCTAAACCTAACACACTTACTATGGATTACAACCTCTACGAACTTTAAGCCAAATAAACCCCTTCCCCTCAAAAAAACAAACAAATAAATAAAATAAACATAAAATAATCTGCCTGGGAAGGGGTGGAGTGATGTTCCAGGAAGGAATTGAGCAACTGGCTCCCACTCAAAGAGTACAGGGAGCACTAATCGGCCTCTCCAGAGGATGGTCTAACGTTCTCTCATCCCACAGAGGGAGGGAACCCCACACACCACAAACCATCAGCCACATTTACAGTTCACTCCCAGCTGTAAAAAAAGAACTGTCACCTTCAGGCCTTTGTCAAATTGAAATCGATGACATGTTAATCAACACTTGATTTAGACTCTCACATCTTCTCTGACTCCAGCCTTCTCAATCACCTCCCCCAAGCTGGTGAGTAGGGCCTGAGTGCCCTTCACCTGCTAAAAGTTCACTTCTACGCTTTCTTCTTGATAACTTGTGCAGCACTTTGGGATAGACTCAAGGACGACTCAGGGACATACTGAGCAACCCTGGTTCCAACCTGAGGTTACCTCTCCTAGTTTCTTCCGCTGCTAAACTGCCCACCACCCAGTTTATCTTCGAAGGCCAAATGTGATCCTCAACTCAAAATCCAAGCAGTCACGAAACCCATTAGTCTGTATAACCTAGAGGCACTAGAAAAAAAAAAGTGAAATTAAAAAAAAGACAAAATCGCCTGATGCTGAAGCATGGAAATATGTATCCAAAGTATTTATTGCATTTTACTGGCTGGCTCTTGAGTATCTGTAGTCATGTGATGCTTTCCTTTTCATAAATTAATCTGAAAAACACAATCCAGGCAGTGCTGGGCACTCAGTTGCTCTCTCCAGCCAGGCAGCAGAGTAACCTGCACACTCCCAGAGAACCACCTTCTGCCTGCCCAGCCAAAGGATGAGCGCTGAGACCTCAGGAGGTTGCCCGTCTCTGACAGCACAACCCATCCCAGGTTAATGCGATTCTGCCAAAATCACTTCCCCTACCACATACCTCGATTTTTCTGTACTCATTATGGGAAAAAAAACAACTTGCCCATCACTCTTTCTTGGAGCAGAAAACTAAGCAGATTTTTTTTTTAAGTGAGTGTCCATCCTTGCTTTGCTGTCTATTCTAATAAGATCGTGAGGAAAGAATGATGATCATCTTCTGTATAACATAAATTGACTCCTGGATATTAAGTTGCACAAAAGTTTACAGCTGTTAATTGGAGAGCTGAGTGGAACCCAGATAGGTCCGTCTAAAATTCAAGGGTACACCAGCGGGGGACAGAGCACAGGGACGCCCATCCCGATTTCACCAGCTTCGCGACAGAGACCACTGATCCTCCAGGCTAGCGCCCTCGCCGCGCCCCGCCCTGCACGGCGCCGATTGGCTGAGCGGCGTCTCGGGCGCCGCGAGGCAGGCACACAGTGATAGGGCGCAAGCGAAGGGGCGGGTTCGCTCGACCCTCGGACTCACTCGCTTATGCTGAGCTTCAATGCGGCGCTGGCCTCCTCCCAGCAGCGCGGCGCTTCGCTTATTCTCGATACGTTCGTTAACGGAGGCGCCTTGGGTGCAAAGGCTGCGGACCGCGGCGCGGAGACCACTAGATAGAATGCTGAGCCTAGCTCCAGCCGCCGCCACTCGCATTGCTGCAGCCATTGTTGCTCTACCGGCGCGCCTCAGACTAGCGCACCTGAGTACGCATGTGCGTAAAACTGGGACGCAGCTGGGCCTGCGTCTGCGCAACGTCAGCGGGACGTAGGGATCTGGGGGCTGGGTTACTGAGCGATATTGGGAGTGAAGAGTGTGCTTTAGAGGCCTTAGGCGGTGTTCAGAGTTAGGCAGAGAAAAAAGCAAAGGCCTGGCCTTCGGCGCTTTTGTCTGCCTTGCTGCACAGAAGAGGGAGTATATTTGTGCTTTCTTTTTCTTTTTTTATTAAGTTCACTGGTACATATTAGGTATATAATATGATAATATTCATCATTGGGGATTTGTACCTTTACATGATATATCTTGGTTATTTTTTCCACATAGCCCTGCCCTCCCTTCAACCCTTCCATCCTTTTCTATTCATGCTTTCTTTAGCAACCTAGAACCTCAGCTTTATCATCTCTTTTCCTCCAGAAAATGAACAGATAGTAAGCATTAATCTACGTTAACTGAACACTGCCACATGCTGCTTTTCGCACTTATCATTAGGTAGTCCATATTCTGATTTCACAAGTGAGGCAAATGAAACAGTGATTTGTTCTAGAGCCAAGACTGAAAATGTGGTAGATCCAGGATTCAAACTCAAGAGACTCATTATATTGAGTATGCTAGGTACTGAGCACAGGAACTTTAACTTGTGCCGAGGCAGTCTTTTTTTTTTTTTTTTTTTT